TCCTTGTGGGAAGAACCAGTGACAACAAGCACTGATCTGCAGCTGGTAACAAGGTAACTGCAGTTATGGTTTGCCCAAGATACAATTCTCAGCTGTCTGGCTTTTACAGCCCATCATAAATCATTTTTGTTGTTGTTGTTTGTTTTTTTTTTAATCTTTACAAACCTAATTGCCATATATTCTCTGAATGTGCCAACAGATTGTGAGACAGGAATGTTGCTGTGCTGAAGAGGCAGGTCCCAGCACATGCACACACAGCTGTGAGTGGCTGGAGAAGAGGCTTGGGAAGAGCAGAGCAACACAGGGAATTTGCTCAAAATTACTATTTTTGCAAAGTAGAGGGATTGTGGCGAAGGGAATGCATAATTTCTGCACTGAAGGAGATGAGAAATAAAGTTGTGTAAGGATTCTGTGTTAACAGAAATTGTGAGAGCAAGACACAGGACAAGACATTTCTGTCCAGGGCTCTGGTTTGTTCATGGCAGGACAGAAATGATGGATCAATGATTTGAGCTGAACTGGAATGATTCCTGCCCAAGCTGCTGCAGTGCTATTATGCACAGACTTTAATTTCTCAATGATTGCCATTTATAGAACATTTGAACAGATTGGTATGAGGAAAATACATAAAAGTTTCTCCTGAAGAGCTCAAGCACTTAAATAACTGAGAGAAGTGTAAATATTTTGCAAATCCTTGAAACTGGCTGTGGTGAGGAAATGCTTCATTATTGTCCCTGTTTCCCTAGAAACATAACTAGCTTTAAACTCCTGACTCCTCCATCATTCCAGAATTCTAATCATAAAGTAAATTGGGGAGTAAAGTACCTCAGACAGGAAAAGAAACCAGATTTTCTTATTGTGTGATTAAAGATTGTGTGAGAAGGAGGGCTCAGTTGAGGCACCAAGCCCTAGGGAGTGCAAGTCAACTCACTGGATGTACTTTCACACTTCCTTTAACCTGTTATCTGGCTGGTAAATCTCAGCAAGGTATGATTGGGCTGGAAACTATTATTTGAGAGTCAAGCATCCAACTGACAGGAGGATGTGTTCCAAAAGTCAGGTTTCTGCAGGCACCAGCAAAGGCAGTGCAGGGGCCTCTGCCAGAGCCCAAGGGACTGAACCTGTCCTGGCCTTGCTAAGGGAGGAGGCCTGGGGCTATCCACAGGGATCTTCCCATACACCACATGGAAAATTCCTGCCCAAAAATAAATCCTAGACTTAGGAGGGACACAGAGTAGATAGGGCTCATAGCACAGAGCTGCTTTATTCTGTTCCCATCTGTAAAACATTTGTATGTCTATTATTTATATCTACATGCTCATATATTTACACACACATACTTGTATTTATAGATTTATAGATTATTATTTCTCTTGCTAGTTTTGTAAGAATATATGTTCTGATCACAGGGGCAAGCCACAGCTTCCAGTAAGGTCAGAGATTTGACTGTGCAAGCCTTAAAGATCAGTTTAAACATTAGTTCTGGATCTAATTAGAAAACAATGAGCTCTCTTAGTACCCTCCTGGTGGATCCTTGTATTTGGGCTTTCCTGATCCTACCAGTGGTTTCTTACTCAGTTTTTCTTGACAGGATTTCTCAGAGCCTGAAGATCTCTGGTTGGGCTCAGTGAGAAAATCCAGCTGTTACTGTATGAGGGCAAACCCTGCAGCCTCTGGTTTGTGGAGCTGCTGCCAGGGAGGCATTTTTAACACTCGGTTCTCATGGCAACTCTTAAACCATTGAAACCCCTTTGGAGCCCCGGCTCTGACTGCCCTGGCTGCACACACAACTTTAAGGGAATAAAAGGGGATTTCTCACTAGTTTTCACAGTTTGTAGCACTTTCATAAAGGACTGTGTTACCCATGTTTGTGTGTACCAGGCAGTCCCTTCACAGGCAGACCTGGCTGTTACCTTAACTAAGAGCTGTGGTTTTCCACCAGACTCTGACACCCATATTCAGCTTTAAACCTTCCTTTTATTAAATACTGAAGTTTGTGCCAACTGACTGTGTTTTGGGCAGCCTATCACCAGCAAAGCCAGTGACTGAAGTGCTTTCTGAGTACCTTTTCATGATTTCCTAATGGATTCAGCTTTAATAACTGATAAAATCTGGTGACATGATTTCTAACAGCATTTTCAACAGAAAGGAGTTGTTGGAATTTGTTTAAAATCTTTGTGTGTGTGTGTGAGTACTGTGAACTTTTGGGTATGGCTGTGATTTTTGATAGTCTGACGTCAGGTTGTGGGAAAGAACCGAACTAAGATTGGGAATGTTGTCAGAAAATGTTGATTAGGGAGGCTGTGGGTGCCTTTGATCCCAACCCTGCGCGGGTTGCCAGGGCTGGGAGCACAGGTGTGTGCCAGGGAAAGGTGTTCCCTGGAGCCAGGCTTGGCAGAGCTGCAGGAGCGTGGGCTCCCAAACTGAGCTATTAGGAGTAATTGCAGCATGCAGAAACCTCTCTTTAGGCAGTACTAAAACAGCTCTGAGAGTCAGCTCCAGTGCTCCTGAGACTACGTGTTCACTGTCACTTGTCCTTTATCGTGGAATCATGGAATGCTTTGGGTGGGAAGGGCCCTCAGAGCTCATCCAGTTCCACCCTCTGCCACAGGCAGGGAAACCTTCCACTAGAACAGGTTTATCCAAGCCACTCCAAACAGGCCGTGAACGCTTCCAGGGATACAGCAACCACAATGTGGAAACACTTAAAGAAATTCCAAGGTTCGCTGGGATTAGCACTCCAAAGTGTTATAACAGAAATTGTTACAAATAGATTTTCCTGCATGAATTCTCATACTTAACTTGGCTGCTGCTATTTTTCATGGTTATGGTGGGCACAGGAGCAGCTTCCTTTCCTCTCGCTTTTTGTTACAGGCACAGTGAGTCAGAGTTTTCTTTTCTCATTCTTTGAGTCGGTGGTGGGCCGAGAGGGAAATCTGCTTTGTCACCTCCGTGGATCCATTTCTGTGTAGCCAGGAGTGCCAGAGCCTGGCAGGACTGTGTACAAAGGCACCAGGGGTAGCAGTGGGCTGCTCTAGCTGTACCTTGCAGATGGAAACATCGCTGAGGGTCTAAACCCTGCAGGTGTCAGAATCCTGATCCTGAGCAAATCCCCTCGGAGAACCCGGTCCACTGAATTCTGCTTCTTGTCTTGAATTTCTCTCCATACAGCCGTTTCACCCTCTTATCTTCATCAAATCTCCTGAAAATGTTGTGTTATCCTTCTGGAGATGATTCATTTTCAGATTGAGCCATAAACCCCGGGGTTTGGGGCCTTGGGAAGCGGGAGAGCTCAGAGCGCTCCCTGCCGGCCCCGCTGTTAAACACAGCCATCGACTCCAAGGCATGAAATAAAAATAAAAACCTGCCAGTTTTTGTATTAATGAACCTGTCCTTTCCTTGTACCAACCGTGTCCCAGGCCCGAGGCTTTAATTTAATTTTGAGAGTGTTTTGAGCAGTTTGTGTCACAAATCCTACTTGTTATTTCCTTGATTGCCATCAGAGGATGCCGAGCTGAATGGAGTGCCACACTGTGTGAGCCAGATAAATCCTGTCCCTGGTCCGGAGCTGTGGGACACACCACTGGAGCAGGATCACAGCATTCCCTCATGCTGGCACTGCAAACGTGTCCCACCTAAAAGAGAGAAGGAGCAGGAGACTCGGAAATGTTCCCAACAAACAGCCTAGAGCACAAATGGCTCCTTTCTGGGATTACAGACATTCTTCCTAGTTAAACTGTGCCTAAAGAAGGTATTTGATCCCAAAGTCCATTATAGCTGGCTAGTGCTGAGGGGGCTTGAGACAGTCAGCATTGGTTGATAAGAGAGAGGAGTAAAAGGGAAGGCAGAAGAGTCCTGTTGTGACTCCAAGGACAGGCGGATTTGCTTTGACTTTACAAACCCTTGTTTCCCATGGAAATAGTTTCTCTGACTCATCCCTTTCCTGCTGTGCAGAGAATTCAGTTTGGATTGTAACATGGAACAGTTTGATGTATTTTAAAATAATACCTTATTATCCAAAACGATGATGTTTTACCTGTCCTGACTCTCTTTGCAAACCAAAGTGTGAGTGTAAAGCAGCGTGACAGGATAAGAAATGTCGGTGATTTAGGAGGTGTTCAGGAAACAATGAAGCCTCTGAGACCCACCCAAGGTCTGGGACAGGGCGGCACTCCCCTGCTATGTGGCTGACCCTGTTCAGCAGCTTCCTCAGCCTTCAAACCAAACACTGAAATGCAGATTTCTAATTTTGAAATGATTGATCTATTTCACCCGTTTTCTTCCTCTGTTGAGCCCAAATAAGCTGAGTGTGGTACACCAAGTGGGGCAGGTTTAGTAACAACGCTTGAACCTTGCCTGCACCGTGCCCTTCTCCACTCAGAGTTCCACACAGCATGGAGCTGGGAATGAGCCTATGGAATAAAGGAGCACACTCCTCCATGTGGAACTTTCAGGTAAAAGACCTGAGCTCAGATTTTCCAACAGGAGGAATAATCCCAACAACTGAATGTTGGGTTAGTAGAACCTTCACAGTCCTCACTCATTTCCCGATCTAACCCTTTGCTTTAATTGAACAAGATTAGACAGACCTCTCATCCAGAAGCTGGGAAAGGGCTGCCTGGAGAGGATTCATTTCTTGTTCAGCGACTCTAAGGGAAGTGGTTTTGATTTGACAAAATTTTCATGAAATTTTCAGGTTAATTAATCCTGATTTTTCACTTCAGCTGCTGAAATGGCAAATCAACCCCTTGAAATATATGCTATGAAGAAGGGGTTCTCCCACCCCTTTCTCTTCCCCATAGGTGTCACCGTTGAGTTTAATGTGGATGTGTTTATTCCTCTCCAGGATTTTATCCAGTCATCGTATGATTTAGGATTCACATATTTCTTTGGAGACGTATTACATAATTCATGCAACCTTAATTTCTTTGTGTATCTGATTTGTTACACCTAAATGTAAATAGAATATTAATATACCAAATAGACTGCTGGACACAGAGTTTTCTTTGCAATGCAGAAAGGTAAAGCTTTATTTGAGGGATTGTTGTTCAGTAGAGAACCAAGTGCACTTCAGAGCCTTGTGTGTAAGCACAGTGGTCACAGTGATGGACAGTATGAAAAGGGAGGAGTAGATAGTTTAAGGAAAAGCCTAGTAATTATTAATTCTGATTTCATGACTAGCATTTGGAGAGCCATCTGTGCATGGGGTAGCTCACAGCGTGTGTGGGCTCCCATGGCACTGACTGGATCAGGGAAGCCAAATGTGTCGGTGGGATCTTAACACACTCTTGACTGCCCTGTGGAAAGAAAGAAGAAATCATTGCTCTGATAGGGAAACCAAGAATCTGTTTGCAGCACTGATTTTTCAGACTCATCCACTATTAAAACATCCATTTGTTAACAAAAGCATGGGAAAGGAGCTTAACTTGTCTCTGGAATTGGAGCCAAACCACTTTGAAATTAAGAGCTTTGATTGTGAATGGTTTAATCCCTGCTGCAATTGCAGATGTGGAAGTCATAGCACAAAGTTGGTATTAACAGAAAAAGGGATGAAACACAAAATGTGAAAGCCTTAAGTTTGGATGCTCTTTGGAAGATGTTTCTTGTTACTAGATTGACCATGACAGTAGGAACTAGAAGAGTGGGAAGACATACCTCCTCCTTGGGTTGCTCCTTGACACGATCTGTAAAAGGAAAGGAGTTTTAATGAAGGGAACAATAAATACATACTGACATCATGTGCAGTGCAGGAAACAGCTCAACTTTTCCTGGATCTTGCAAATATATATTTATATCTATTTTTTCATTTCAATCCCTTCAGCTGTATTTTCCTAGAAATTTTGTAAAAGCAGAGACAGCAAGAGACTGCTGCAGTATAATTCTTGTACTCTCACAGTCCAGTTGTGCTTGTTTGTCTGCTGACAGAAGGAAATTCATTACAGTTTGGTTTGGCATAGTGATTCCTCTCATGGAATTCACTCTGCACAAACAGGTCAAGAGGAACTGATTAACTCAAAACCTGTCAGTAACAATCTGCTCTATGTTTCCTTCGGTGTTTGATGTGCTTAGGAAGTTTTTGATAGACACATTTCAATGCAGATGCCATGAAAAAAAGGCACTGAATTTAAATTCAGCTACAGACAAGTAAAGTATTCCGCTCTGTCTTCTTTGAGTGCCAGGAGAGAAAAGCTTGTGATAAAATTTGTGCCCTTATTTGCAAACAGACAACATACACAAGATCCTGCTGCCCCTCCTGCAGCAGTGCCCGGTACTGCTGGATCTCCTGCTCCAGGCGCATCTTGATGCCCAGGAGCATCTTGTACTCCTGGCTCTGACTCTCCATCTCACAGCGGATGCTGGCCAGCTCCTCCTCGATACAGTTTATCTGCCCCTGGATTTGTTGGAGCATGCGGCCGTAGCGAGACTCGGTTTCTGCCAGGGAGTTTTCCAGAGAGCCTTTCTGGAAAGGCAAACACAGGAGTTGAGGAGCAGAGTTCTACGGCTCCCTGCCCGTGCCAAGGAGGGAAGGGCCCGCAGATGCTGCCCACGTACCGTGCTGAGCTGTGCCTGCAGTTCGATCTCCAGGTTCTGCATCTCGCGCCTCAGCTCGGTGAGCTGGTGGCTGCTTGTCTGGATGTCCTGGCTGCTGGAAGTGACCTGCTGATTGACTTCTTGGATCTGTGGAGTCCAACCCCAGAGGCACTTTCTGAGCCACAGCAGCTCCTCAGGGAGCAGATTTGCTGAGCGAGTGCTCACATCTCCAGGGAGCGTCTCCCTTTCAGCCAGTCCTGGTACCAGGGTGTCTGGGCTGTCCCACCCTATTCCCACTCTGGGCATTGCTACATACCTTGACCTCATACCACTGCTCCACCTCCTTGCGGTTCTTTGCAATGATCTGCTCATATTCATCTCTCAGGTCATTCAGGATCTTTGTCAAGTCTTCTCCAGGGGCAGCATTGACCTCGACGCTCACATCGCCACCAGTTTGGGACTGAAGCTGCCTCATTTCCTGCAGGGAGTCCAGAGAGAGACACAAGAGCACACACAGGTCATTTGTTGTGCTGGGGACTGTGGGCAAAGCAGTCCAAGGTACAAAGGAATGACAGTCCTATGGCATGAATACATATATATATATGATATAATGAATAAAATGAAATTGATTTCATATTTGATATGTGGTGGTGGGAGCCGTGAAGAACCAACACATTCTGTCTTTGGCTGTGCCATCTATCAGTGGATCGTACCTCCTCATGGTTTCTCTTCAGAGCAATCAGCTCATCCTTCAAGGTCTCCAGCTCAGATTCCAGTGAAGATCTAACCAGAGTCAGGTCATCCATGAGATTTCTCAGGCCATTGATGTCAGCCTCCACGGTCTGACGGATGACCAGCTCATTCTCATACCTATGTCACACACACAGAGACAGAGAAATGGGGAAATGAGACGCTAACAGTCAATAGCACAGATCCTTCTAAGATCAGTATTCCAGTAAAATGGGATGACTCAGTAATACCACCCAGGCCAGTCCTCCCTTGTCTTCTTAGATGATGACAGGGATTTGACAGACATGGAAGGTTCACAGGGAGGTACTCACTTCATTCGGAAGTCATCGGCAGTCATCTTGCTATTATCGATGTCCAGAAGCATTCTGTTGTTGTCCACAGTGGCAGAAATAATCTGCAAAAGGGGAAGGGGGAGAGGAGTCTTTCTGTGTTCTAGATTTGCAGGACAAAGCTTTGGTAGGGTTTTATTATGGGTCCTAGAATTGTTTCTTGCAGTAGTGCAGGGTCCATATGGAAGGGTAAAGATCCAGATTTACTTTTCAGGGGAGCTTGTGCTATTAGAGATCATCCTGCCAAATCCATGCTCTTCCTTTTATCAAGTTAAGGACAGACCCTGTGTGTCCCAAAGAGTGTTTGCAGAACTATCTATAGAATGTATTCCTTCACAGTGTCTGTTTACTCTGTTTTTTTGGTACTATGTGACCTGATTGTAAGGGAAGAGCTGAGTCCTTCCACCTGGTGTCTGTAGGAGAGGGACAGGGACAAAGGGAGCTCAGGCCCTGCCGTCCCGGTGCTTTGGCTTTGCACTCCATCCAGCTGATCTGGGTGGGAGCAGAGGGAAGCAGTGCAAGGCACACGTGGCTGGTTTGGAGCCACCTGCACAACGTGGGATGAACATTGCGTGAGGCAGCGTGCCTGTGGCTGCTGGAGCTCCTGGTGCCTGGGGCTGTGCCCTGCTGCCTGTGGGCTGCTGTGAGGCTTTGCTCAGCCAGGGGATGGGAGGTGCAGCTCAGCAGGTTTGTGCCTGCGGTGCCACCGCAGCACGGCCGTCCTGCGGGCGGTAGAGCCCAGTGCTGGGGATGGAGGGAGGAGGAAGAAGCAAGAAGGAAAGAGGAAGGTCTTAGAGGAGAGAGAAGCATGCGGGAGATGGAGCCACGTGTGCCAGGAAGATCCTACCTGATTCTGGAGTTGTTCAATGGTCTGGTAGTAGGAGCTGTAGTCCTTGGAAACATTGGGAGCTTGTTTCCTGTACCATTCCCGGATGTGGTGCTCAAGCTGAGCGTTCTCTTCCTCCAGCCTTCGCACCTTCTCCAGGTAAGCCGCCAGGCGGTCGTTGAGGTTCTGCATGGTGACCTTCTCATTGCCGCTGAGCAGCAGGTCCCCCCCAGGGCCGCAGCTGCCCGCAAAGCCCCCGCCAAAGCCCCCGGCCAGGCTGCCCATGCTCAGGCCGCCCCCGTAGCCCCCGCAGGCTGCCCCGCCGTAGCTGCCACCGCCGATCACGGAGGAGGCGTAGCGCCGGCAGGACACGGAGGAGCTGCGGCCGCTGCTGCCACCACCGCAGGCGCCTCCACCTCCTCCTCCGCTCCTGTACGAGGTGCTGGAGGATCTCTTGATGCTGCAGCTCATGGTGAAGGGATCAGATATCCAGCCCCAGATGCAAAGCTGTGCACAGCGAGATAGAGGAAATCAAAGTGAGCAGGTCGTCCTTGCTGGTGGCTATTTATACCTGCCCGGGTGGGTGTCACCTGCTAGGCAGTCCAGCTTCCCATGGGCTTTGCCAGCCATGGTGCTCATGCTGAAAGTGATGTGCTAAGGGGAATTTCTTTTGGGGCTTGGGACAGCCCTCCCCCCAGGTTCTGTGTTTGCATGCTGATTCACACCAAGCCTGCACTGCAATTTCGGGTGGGTGGCTGTGTGTTAGATTTTTTTGGAGATAGTTTGTTGCTGGCTACTTAGTGAGTGAGACTCATTTTAATAGTTGTTCTTTGTTCTTTGGAGTAACTTCTTTTTGTCCTGAAAACAGGTGGTGAAAGCACCACCTACCTAATCACTCTGCTTTAATTTCAGATTTGGAGAAGTATGAACTCAGGCACCCTTTGCAAGAGGCTGGTTCAAATCAGCCTGTGGAACTGCCCTGGAAACAGAATCTCTAAGAATTTGGGTGCCTCCCTTAGAAGAGAAAGCTCAATGTGGGCCCTGTCTCTCAGGGTACTTAATGGTAAATCACTGTAGAATGGGCTTAACAGCAGCAATATTATTTCTGTTCTCACCAAACTCATGTGGTATCACTTCCAGGAAATGCTCTTGTCTCATGAGCATGCGAGCATGCAGTGATGGCATTTTAAAGCTGTGAGATTCTAAACATTTTTTGTGCAAATTTACGATCACTCAGATGTTATCTTAAACTAAAATATGTACATGAAATCTATATGGCTGCATTGGCTGTATCCTGGGAGAGGAAAGAAAGGATTTGGCTTGGCCAGATGGAGGCTGAGATTGTTATCAGCTGGCTCTTGAGGAAGGAGGTACCAGGGCTGTTTGAAATACAGAACCATCCTGTTGTACATGTAGGAATGGTCACAGTCTGGATTTAAGTCTGTTTGGAAAGTAAAAGGAAATTTTTAACTGTGGGAGGCAGAAGAGTCTTGAAGAGTTTGCATTGCAGGAGCTGTGGATGGGAGAGTTTCAAGTCTTGGTCAACTGATGTTGGGGATTTTATCCTTGTATAACAGAGGTAGCTGTGATGACCCTCTAGATCCCCCTTACCTTTGGTCTTTTGTCCCTTGGTGCAGAAGAACTGCACCATTTCTATAAGGGGGAAGATTGTCATAAGCCCTTCTATGGAAATTTTACCTTTAAATAACTTTTGGAAAATGTGAATTTTAAGCCTGAAAGACAAGGGACCTCATTATGTGAGGGTTGAACTTTGATGGAAATCCATCTCTACTGGAGGTTATTACCCATTTGTTCTGTTGTTGGTTTCTCCATTTGTGCTGTTACTTACACACACCCTGCAGTTGTGGCTCAAGCAGCATTTTTTTTTTCTTAGCCACAATGATTATGAGATCCATAAAAGTTACTAATGTGTGTTATAGATGACTGAAGAATCATGGAAAACCATTGACCCTCTTTCTTGACACACCACCACCCCCATATCACAGTTAATGTAATCCTTTGAGCGGCATAATTATGATTGTTGTTTTATTGGTAGCTCTTTAATTATCCACACGTCAGTACCAAGTGCTTTGCATATGTTATTGAGACTGAGTCATCATTATTAAAAAATAAAAATTATTTTCTCACAGGGTGTGATTCCTTAGTCATATTTTCCTCATTAGATTGTTGAAATGCACTTTTATTCTCCCCTATGAGATGTTTATTGCTGATTGGTGTTAGTGCCAGAGGTGCTGATTTTATATCTCCTTCTTGGCATCATTGCATCACAACACCCGACCCAACAATTCCTGACATTTCCCAATGCTGTAATTTCATACCATCACCAGGTGCCTTTTCTCTGTCTCTGTGTTTCTTTCTTATTTTCTCAAATAGGTTTTCTAACTCTTCTAACTGCCATAACTGCATCCCAAATGTTTAATTTCTAGACTTTCTGTTCTGTAACTCAGGGGTATTTCCTTGTCTCCATGTGCATTTCTGGCCACTGTCCTGTGTCCATGGCTCATGGCCTGAGTTGCCTGTTGTGAGTGAGTTTGGACCTGCTGATTTACTTCACAAGCCAGAAGAGCCAGGACTGTTCAGGAGCCATTACCTTTCACAGTCCACAGTAATGACAGAAGGAGGTCAGACATGTTCTGCTGTAGAAGATGTTGAGGTTCCTCAGCCATTCAAAGGCGCTGTAAGAACTTTGAAATCACATCTTCCCATGGCAGACTTTCTGCTCATAGTGCACCTCATGGACCTCAGCAGGTCAGAAGTTTGTTTGAAGTAGGAGTGCTGTGAATCCTTTCCCAGCGCTGTTTACTCACCGGTGAAGTTGGATGTTGAGCCACAAACAGCCTCCAAATTGGCAGAAGAACCAAAAGCAGGCTGTGGTTTCCACAGAGGCTGTGATGGCATTACTGGGTGCATGTCTTCAATCACAAGAGAGGGAGAGGACAATCCTAGATACAATTACTGGTAATTAATTGTTCTACTGTAAATGAGTCAAATGTGGTCTTGGTAAGAAGAGTGCAACTCCCAAGAGTTTCGTCAGGAACTCCATTTGTGCATTCCTCATCCGTCATCCATTGTTCTGCAGCATCGCTCAACCTGTGCATTTGTTCAGTTCATTCAGAGCTGTAGGATTCCACAATCCCCCATTCTGGGCTCATCCTTCTCTTATTCACTCCATGGGCTGGGCTCATAAACTTGCATATGTATAGACCTACAGAAAATCCTATTAAATGTGAGCTATTTTGATTCTGTACTTGATCTAAATCATTACTCATAGTCCTTCCTACCACTGAAAAAAGACAAATTTAGAGATACTTCCCAAGAGAAATTAAACACTTCCAGACGAGGGATCCTTTCCTGTTCTTTTTCTCTCAACCTTCTTCCATGTGCTCCTGTTATTGATGATGGTGACTAATTGAATTCTAAATTCCTCCCTGCCAAAGCCTTTTTTTCCTATCCTGTAGATCTGTTCAAAGCACTAAGCAAGTGTATGGATTTTCTAAGAACATGGATGAGTGAAGTGAGCACAGGAGCAGGCAGTGGATAGCTGATCACAGCAATAGCACAAGGTTTCTGGAGCACCTGCCAGTCTTAGATGGAGGCTGTGGATCTTGCTGTGCCTGTGGCACACCTGTGCTGTGTGTTGTCCCTAGGACAGGCCTTGGCCCATCCCTAGGTGGGGGTTAGTGCCCTGTGGATTGGCAGGAATATGTGGAGGACATTGTGCTGTCAGCTGCAGGACTCTGCAGTGAGTTGATCCTGCTATAGAGACTCCTGAGGAGTGGCACCCACCCAGTGCCACCCACTGCACCAAGACCTCACACTCCCAAATCAGCTCAGAAATGGGGACAAACACTGCTGCTCTGGAGTTCCTGGGAGTTCTGCAATGTTAGAAGGAAGCAAAAGAACTTTTCAGTTCTTTAGTTACATTCATGAACTGTAGTTTAAGGTTCCATAATCTCGCCTCAAAAGAGATGTCTCCTTCAGCTGCTTTGGCTACAATAAATATAGCTGAGACCTGAGCGAGTTCTGGCAGCCTCTGGAGATAAAAGTCATGTTTGCATTTGCTTGCATCACTTTCTATTCTGTTAAAACCTGAAATGAGCTTTTTATTCATTGTAGACAGGCTTTTATTCACACAAATTCCTGATGCTGGACTGATAAAAGTCAGTTTTTCAACAGGAATAGAAAGTGTATTCTTTATGGGCACTCACTGCAGGCTGCAGTCAGGGGGCTGTGCTGGCAGAGCCAAGGCATGTGGGTACTGAGAGAAAACCTAAACAAGATCAAACTCTTTTAAGTTGGTTGTGATGAGAAAGTGTTTCATTTCATTACCCTAACAGATCAATCCTTCAGTCTGAAATGAAATGGGAAATACTAGAAACCTGGTTTAATCAGTGGGGAAGGGATGAACAGGCAAGTGATACAAGGCCGATTTTGTGTATCTGGTGCACAACAGTCAGGGACTGAAAAGGAGCTTCACTGTGATCTTCAGAAAGCAAAATACATCTAAAAGAACTGCTTCAATTTAGTATTGCTCTCTTGTCTAATTTTGTTTCATATGTTGTGTTCTTAAGCAGAAAAATGTAGAAAATACCTTCAATGAAAGGAATGTGTCTCTCATTTCTCTTAAGGCAGAGTATCAGCCAGCTGTGTATAATTACAGAAATTGGGTTCTTGGTATTATATTAGTATTTAAATTGAAATTTCTATCATAAAACACTGGAATGCTTTTGGTGCATGACACTGAAGGAAATAGGTACATTGTTCTGTCTTTCCTAACAGAAGTCAGCAATATGTAATTCTGTGTGCAACAAAAGATGTAGAAATACTTGTGAGGAGCCCCCTCATGCTGGAACAACTTCTGCTGAGTCACACCTTCCTTCTCACAGGGCTCCAGCTGTGATGAGATTAATGGACTCAGATAAGTTATAGTAGTACCACTGGGCACAATTTAGTAAATTAACAGTTGATCTCTTGATAGTTACACATCATTTGTATTTCCTTTCTCCGTTCACATAATTAATTCTCTCATAGTGCAAGTGGCAAGGCAAGGGGCCAGAAAGCAATCCCTTAGTGACCACTAAAAACCAAAATGGTAAATGGTTTTTAATGTCTCAGGAAAGAGAAAACTTGTGTCAAGAACACAACAAGGTTTCTATTTTCAGCTTTATATTTTTTGCTTGTGAAGAGAGAGTTCTGCCAGCCTCACCTGGCAGTTTCCCTAGGCAGAGGCTGGCTGTTGTCTCACCTCACACAGCCATGGTCACACTGCCAGCTATTTCCTTTCACTCAGTGGTTCTATCCCAGCACTGTGTCCATTTTCCTAGTGTGAAATGGACTGTCCTGAGACCACGTACACTGTACAACTGCACAGCCCATGTTTGGTGGATAATCTGGATAAGTACTCGCACGAGGTTGGTTATATTGATTTTCTCAGACAAGTTGTGATTTGCATTGCAGACATAAAGGTTTATTAGAGCAGAGTTACCAGCAGAGGGTGAGCCCTTTAACAAAGAATGAGTTGCCAAACACATGTTGAGTAAGCCAAGCATTGCAGGGCAGAGGAAGGGGTGCTGGGGCAGGTGACCAGGCTCATCTTCCAAACCCCTCCTGCTGCCTTGGCCATGCTGCAGAAGCTCTTGGGTGTCTTTTGCTGCCCAT